TCTGGTCTCCCACCATACAACTATGTTGTACTCATTTGGGAGGCCACCTTTCTGGTATGGCCGACCAGCATTTCACCTTGACCCTTTTGACCCCTGGTCGGTCGACCAGGGGGAGTGGTCGGCTGACCACCTTGGCTGGTCGACCAGCCTTCTGCATTTTGGCCTTCTTGAGTGCAACACAGCTATGCCAGCTGTGAAGCATTTGACCCGTCCTCCGAGATTTTGACCCTCTTGTTTGTCTTCTTAAGGAGGTTTTGACCCTTTTGCTTAGCTTCTAAGAAAAGCTTGACTCTTTTGTCAAGCTTCTTGAGGAAGCTTGACCCTTTTGGTCTAGCTTCCTCAAGAAGCTTGACCCTTTTGCTTAGCTTCTTTTAGAAGCTTGGCCTTTTTACTTGAGGCTTCTCCAAGAAGCCTTGGCCCTCTCCCTCTATAAAACAAACCCTCCTCTCCATTTGCAAGGGTTGAAGAATTTGGTTAAGACACTTTGCATACAACTCTCCATATCTCTTCATCCCAGGCTCTAAACTCCATCATTCTTCGCCATTTGCACACCAACCCTTAGCACAACACCTCCACCATCCATCCAAGCATCTTGGAACTGATTTGCAGAGGTTGAAGGCTCACCATCTTGGTCCAGAAGTTGCTGGAGGTCTTCTCTACAAGGATGAGTCTCCATTTCCCCCATTTTGGCATTGTTTTGCTTCATTCTTTAGCCTTATTTTCAGGCATTTCTGGGTTTCATCCTAAACTGAAAAGTGTCTTATTTTGAGCTCCTCTTGAAGTTTGATTAAGGACACTTTTCTGTTTAAGGTCATCTACCTCCTTGTATGCTCCATTCCTCATTGTAGGCTTATTTTGCTTCCTATCTTAGCCTTGCTTGCAAGCATTTTTGAGATTTGTCATAAACTGAAAAGAGTCTTATTTTTAGCCCCTCTTGAATTTTGATTAAGGGCATTTTTCTTTTGGGGGTCATCTACCCCCTTGTATGCTTGTTTGCATCTTGTTTTGAGCCTTGCATCTAGGCCTTTGTTTCATGCTTTGTTTGGCCTTCTAGCCACTGAAATCCAGTGGATTTTCAGTGGCTAGCACACTATTTTGAGAGCCAAAATTAGAGGGGGGGTGACCCCCTCTCTCCTTGTCTTGTTTGTTGGCCCTTTTGGCTTTCCAAAGGGCCCCCTACTTGCATGTTGTGAAGTCACATTTCAGGCCCTATTTGGTGAGTTTTAAGGTCTGCCTTAGCTATGTCCGGAGCCCTTTTGGCCATATTTTGTGTCCCTCATGCATGTGTAGAGCAATCCTATTCAAGGCCTTTCTAAGGGACCTTTCATTGCATGCTTCATTGACCCATTTCAGGGCCTTTTTAGTGAGTTTTAGGACCCTCATAACTGATTTGCAGAGGTGGTTTTGCCATGTTGCATGTCTATCTTACATGTGTTGAACATCCCTCTTATTGGCCTCTTAAAGGAGCACCTCATTCGAACATGCATTGACTGAGTTTCAGTGGGTTTTTGGGATTTATTTGACATGCCATGTTTCTGTTTTTGGCTGGTTTGGTGACCTCTCTTAGCTTCATATACATGTAGTGAAAACCATGCTTACTAGCTTATGTTGTATGTTGTTTTGGCCCTTCATGTTAGCACTTTTTGGTCATGCCTTAAACTGATCTTAGGCATATTTTAGACTACTTTAGCTCTGTTTTTGGGTCTCATGGTCGAATGGTGTTTGTTTTGCATGCTTGTGGTTCAATACACTTGCTTAGCTTAGAGTTTCGGGGTCCATTACATGCATATACTGAGGTATTTCCTTGTTTTGGGGCCATTATACATTATATTTCAGAGCTTGTTTGAATGCCATATTGTCATGTTTTATACTCTTTAAATGCGTTTGAGAGTCGGGCTTGTATGCCTCATTTACCGACCATTGAATGAGCTCCATTTCGCTGCATTCCAAGCCATCATTTTAGGCCATTTCCCCACTATTCAGACCTACCTAGGGTTTGTTTGGGGTTGGTTTTGCCATTAGTGCATTGCTTTGGGTACCTCTAGTGTAACGCACTTCACTAGTTTCAGTACCCGGGCCCCCTAGCTTGCATTGTATGCCATGTTTGCATGTTTCGGGACCATTTTGTATCATGTTTCAGAGCTGGAATTTTTGTGTTTGTATGCAATATTGCATCCTTTTCCATGCTTTGGTAGAGTGGCATTTGATGCCTTAGGATCGATCCCTTGCATCATGCATGTTTGTATGTGTTTTGGTTGTCTCATTTCCATCACATGGCCACTGATGTGAGTGTGGCTGAGGTCCACTCATGTTGGTGTAAGTCCATTGTACATCGTGTATGCCATTTTAGTCCATAGCATTGCGTATACTAGGTTGCATGTTAGAGCATTGTATATGCCATGTTACATCACGTGCATCGTATATGCCATGTTAGTCCATAGCATTGCATATGCTAGGTTACATGTTAGTCGCATTGTGTATGCCATCTCATTCTCATTTGCATTGTGTTTGGGATAGGAGTTAGCCCGAGCACAGGAAACAAGGGACGTTTCGTACTCCAAGTGACGGAACGTGTCTCAATTCCTGGTCGCCGACACTCCGGATTAACCATGATGAAGTCTAGGCCTTATTATGTGTATATATGCATTCATTTCACATCGAGTCACGCAATTCGACTCCTCGACCATCGTGCATCGAGATGCGTGATTGGTGGTACGAGGATCAAGGTGTGCATACATATGTGAAAATACTTTGCCATGCCCCTTTCTTGCTCTCTGTTGTAGCAAATCAGAAATCAGCAACTTTCTAAAGCCTTGCACAGCATTCCGGGATTAATTGCAAACAGAGGGGAATTAGGGCATCGCAATGGATTTCTGCGCAAGGCAACTCGAGCATGCATCTTTCATCATTCGGAACAGAGCTGAGGCGGTCCATGAATTTGCATGCTAGTTTATTTGCTTTCCTAGTTAATTTGTTAATTAATTAGGGTTTTGTAATATTTAATCATTCATTCGGACTGTAATTATTTATTCGAACTGTATTATTTATTCGGACCCCTCGATGGGGGGCAATGTTGTAATAAGTGTGCGTGTGTGTGATGTATGTCTTCCAACCCGAGGACTCAGCGGGGTAGTGATGCTATTTGGGTGGTTGTAGACCGGTTGACTAAGTCGGCGCACTTGGTTGGGTTTTCCCTTGGAAAAGTGTCTGGGTTCCGGGGGTTCCGACTAAGGTTGCCTTTTTTTATGTGGACGGTAGCTTTAGGTCGGAATCTTACTTTGGATAATTTGATGCGGCAGGGGCACATCCTTGTGAATCGGTATTGTATGTGTTGTGCGGATGCGGAGTCAGTGAATCATTTGTTTCTTCATTGCTCGGTGGCTTCGCGTTTGTGGGGCTTCGTTTGTTCACTCTTTGGCCTTGCTTGGGTTCAGCCACAAGGGGTGTCTGCTCTTCTTTGGGCTTGGCGGGGCGTACGTCTTGGACGGCGGCGGCGCCGAGCTTGGTTATTGGCGCCGTTCTGCTTGATGTGGTTGCTTTGGTGGGAAAGGAATCGTCGTACCTTCTTAGCAGTTTCTCATAATGTTTCTTGGTTACAAAGTCGTCTTTTTATAGTTTTGTATAGTTGGTTGGAAGGGAGGGTCGATCCGGATTTATTTGTGTTTTTAGATTTTATAGATGAGATGATTGGTTAGTTTTGGTTCTCTTGGTTCCCTTTCTGGGTGGTTTTTCTTGTATTGCTTGCATCATTTTGATGCTTCTTAATAAAATTTGCTTATTTATCAAAAAAAAAAAAAACACTGTGAAAAACCCACTAGCCTTTTTGTACTTGGACAGTTCTTTCATAGTGTAGATCATGTGATTTAAAACATAATTCATTTCTGCTCTAAAAAAGTAAAACTAAATTTGCTGATCTCAGAATTTAATTCTTTTTCTTCATTTCATTTTATTTTATTTATTAATTATAAGAAACCTTGTATCTACTTTTTGAATTGGTACATTTTATTAATTGGTACATAATGGTGCTTATATTTCCTGCTTTCCTGTTACTGGCCGCATCTGCCAAAAATGGAATTCGTACTGTTTTGGCCCTGGGATCTCTTTAGGCATATGACCTTACTCACTAGATATATAATTCTGATTCATAACAAATTCAAGGATTTTTTTTAGCCATCTTGCTTGCATGTGGTGCAAATTATGCCATCAATCATACTTGAATAATCGTGGTTGCTACTTATATGATTTTTATACATGTGACAAGCTGGTCGAACTCCAAGAATGAAATTATGTTTTCTTTATTTGTGCACATAATTATGATTCAGCATAACACATTTATCTTTCATGTGACAGTTGCAACCATAGTTGGAATTGTAGTGGCTTTAAATATTACACTCAGGTTTAAATCTTGAAATTGTCAATTAACAAGATGACTGGAGAGGTACTTTATTTCTCATTTAACATAAAATTGAATTTATAACCAATTGTTGTCCACATTATTTCTTATTTTTCCTTATGTATTGCACAGAGTTCAAAAAAAGCAGAGAAAAGAATTAGAAAGGAGCGTGAAGCTATAATTGCTGTGACAATGGATGAAAGAAGAAATGCATCATTCAGAATTTTAGATGAGTGTTCTACTTCTCCACATGTTGAATCACATGATATGGAAGGAGTTGTAGACTCCACTCAAGTACCAAAGAAGAAAACTAGGGGGGCATCAAAGTTAAAGATGCATGACAAAGGAAAACAGAAGTGTGATGAAATTGATTTCAATGAAAGGTGTAAGTTTAGTTTGAGAGAGAAGCTAGAGAGCAATGAATGAGAGAAGCTAGAGAGCAAAATGGTTTCTGTCTATTATGTGTTATATCTTTACAAGAGTGAACTCTCTCTTTATAGAGAGAGGAAATGTACATTACCAAAGGATGATTGGTAATCACCACCGAAAGAATAAAGTGAAAAGAGAAAGCATCTATATCTAAACAATGAGCAATATTATATTAACAAATTAGCCTGTGGGACCTGAGTCAGTTAAACTATCGACTTTAGAAGGGATCTTGGCATGAGTGATGGTGCCAATAACCACAGAGAGATGGCCTGATTTTCCAGAAGAGGTTAAAGACAAGCTAAAAACTAGCATATGAATCCAAGACGCTATGTACTTATGCATATGTATTTATTTTATTGTACTTTATTTTGAGGTTTCCTGTGGAGTTTACTTCAAATCTAAAAACTTGTTATTTTTTTCTTGATATGTAGAGGATCCTATTGCAAAACGGTCACTGGCATCACCACAAAGAAATGTTTTTGAAAATAAGGATGTTGCAATGGCAAATGATGCCCTCCAAACTGTAGTCAAGGTAATGTTGTAAAAATGTTTACGGGACCCTGCATTTGTTCTTGTTTTGTTCGTTTAGTACTGCGTCAATGAGTTGGTCAAGTTTTCGATTGGCTGGTGGAAATCCTATTTAAAGGCTCATTCCATAAGGGTAAGGGTATTTTTGTATCCATTTCGTACCTCTTGAAGAGGAATGACCATTCCAATATTTTGTGGGATTGGGTATGCGGTCGGTTTGGCCGACCAAATGAGGAAACTGGGATAGGAGTTCCATTACAGTGCATTCCCATGTATGAAATGTAGGAACTTAATTTGTGATGACTTTGCTTACATGATTTTGACACGACTTCATTATATCTCTCCAGACTACTTTATCATTTTATAAGAAAATATGTAAATTGTTCTCTGTATCTTCTACAGGAAAGCGGAATGAAAGAATCTGCTGTCTCAGAGTTACAGAAAAGGTTAGAAATTTCCGTCTCACTTTCTAGCCCCGAGACTTAAATCATAGACGAATTGGAAGACAGAGAATTTCTTGAACTAGCATCACGATTGATTGGAGAAAATGCTGTTGGCAATGAGCAGATTTCACATAGTCAGGTCAGTTTTGTATATTGTATAATGTTCCTGCCTCTTCTACAACTAATTGCGCCCTATATGGTGATATAAAGGCAGCTGAGGCAGTTCGTGACCATTGGAGAAAATCCACTCCACAATCAATACAACTGAAGGAGCTCAGCCCTCTACTTCGTGACTACGAATGCTTGATTGCACGCCATCATATGTAAGGATGAACGTATATGCATCATTACTTTTTTTTTTGGGATCAGCAAGAATGAATTCCTGGAGGTTTGGTGATCAGTTCCATACCGTACTAGTCAAATCAATTTACCTTCTGGGGATCAGCTCCCAAATAATGTGTTTTCGGACAAGTTCAAAGCCTGTAAAATTGTCCTTGAAGTGAGGCATAAATTAAATGGAGTTTGGTTTTGATTAGCTTGTGAACACAATTATAGGGAAAAGGAAAAAAATTCACAATAACAACTGCATACTACAGATAAATAAAGACCATCAGAGTGGTATATCTTTCCACCTCCAAAGGCAGAGGTGCAAAGCATACTGTACTTACCAGAAAGAAGTATGAAGCTCCCCACGAATGGGGTTATAGCAATCAATTGGGTTGATAATGTCAATCAGTTTCTTAATTCAAGCTTACTTGACCATTGTTTATACTCTTCAAGCTATTGGTTGCTTGAAGAGTGAGTGTCTAAAAGTTTGCTTTGCTTTTATTGAAGTTTGTGTTTATTTTGTCAAATCTTTGCACTTTGCTTTCTCTCTCTCTCTCTCTCTCTATATATATATATACATACACATATAAATCTGTTTGTATTATGGACCACCTCTGGGCAATTGCTTTTAATATGAAGTTTATCTGTTAATTAGTATTAGCCTATAAAGGTTGATTGAATGTAAATGCCTACTTGCAGCTTCTTGTACATGCATAGGCATAAGTACAGTCCTCTGATACTATTTAGCATTGAATAAACATCAATTGCTGAGTAGAATCTGGTTCGTTAGTTATATCTGCTTCTAGAACAGTTTTGCTGCTTTGGAAGTCCCATTACCTTTGTCTGTGAGGAAAAAAAGATGAAATATGGTTTAAAGTTTCACTCATTTTCTTTGTCATACTAATCTAATTTTTGGAATTACAGCCATGTCTATAGCTGTAAACTCATGTTAACTTGTATGAAGTTCCATAAAATTGACTACACCTTGAAAATTGAATCAATTTATGGAAGTTATTGAAAATCTGACCATTTTTGTCTCCTTAGTTGTTAATTTGGAAGAGCTTTTGCTGCACATTCTCATTTGCTTCTTATTTGGATGGCACCTGCTGCAGGGAGCACTCGAACATTGTTCTTGTCCACTACCGCGAAGTAAAGGTTACAAATTTATTCTATTATTTCTTTGTTCATTGAAGAAATTCACAATTGATAATTTGTATACCGTATCAGATGATTCTTGAGCCAATATATATTATAAATAATGCTGGCTATTTTAGAATAACATCGCTTTCTAGCTTTCCCACCTCTTTTGTTTCAAGGTTTCTTGTGTATATATAACTTCCACGTATTGGAATCTTGCTACAAAATATAATCTAATGTGTTTTGTTGCCCAACTTTTCACATCCGTGCTGGTTTCTTTTTGGACTAATGGTCATTACAATGTTCATGTTACTCGTAAGATTCCCGACTTAGTGGCACTTCTATGATTTGGAAAGCTCCATCATGGGTTTTAGTACGTTACATTGTTATGTTTCTTGTTGGTGCTTAATTGATATTGTTTGGGCCATGGCTATTCCAGAGTACTTAACGTTACATCTTGTTTTCGCAATTTTTTTTTTTTTTTTTTTTTTTTTTTTTTTTTTTTTTTTTGCGATAGTAACAAGATGGTCGCTAATACATTGTAGGCATTTTTTGAACTAGATTGGGAGTGGGAGTCTTCCTTCTTCTAGCTCTTAGAATAAGTGTGCCAAAGGTTGATTCTTGGGATGTAGTTTTGGTTGTAAATCAAAAGCCAAAATTCATTTTTTGTGTATTTAAGAATATGATGCATCTATCTGCTTTTCTTTTCTTTTGTACTCTTTTTGTTTCCCATTCAAATTTTCTGGAACAATGCATGTTTTCTTTGAAGGATGCAACTTTTTATTTTACTTGGTCTTGTGATCTATAAGTTTTTGAACCATGTAAAATACCAATGATATATTCATTGATTTGTTTCTATTCTTTTATTTATGCAGGTTGCATTTTTTTTCCCAAGAAATTAGTAGGTGGAGTTGTATATCTAAAGTCATATTTTGGAAATTAGTGAATCATAATTTGAATACTTTTCTTGATTTGTATGTTTGTAAGGTTGTTATTAGCTTTGATATGATAGAAATTGAGGATAGAAGCTAGTATGCAGGTTATTTGGTGGATGGATGTTAGTTTTTTTTTCTTAATTCATAGTTGTTGTTTCTGCTTGGTTTGTTCACAAGTTGCCGCACTTTATAAGGTATTGTCTTTGTTTGGTTGGAGGTGCATACTGCTTTGTTTGGAGGAACATACGGTTAGGCAAGGTTATGTTCTTGTGTGTGTGTGTATATATAAAAAATAACTTTCTACGACATTCAAAATTATGCCGTGAAAAGTGTAATGATTTATGGCATGTAAGAAAATGTCCTAAAAGATTATATACGACATACAAAGTATGTCATAAATATATTAAAAATAATTTTTTACGACATGCAAAATTATGTCATGAAAAGTGTAATGATTTATGGCATGTAAAAAATGTTGTAAAATATTATATACGGCATACAAACTATGTCATAAATATATTAAAAATAACCTTCTACGGCATGCAAAATTATGCTATGGAAAGTCTGATGATTTATGGCATAACAAAAATATCATAAAAAATTATATACGACATACAAAGTTTGTCATTAATATTTAATTTATTACTTTTTACAATTTTATTTGTATGTCGTAAATGATACTTAACTTTTCACGGCATGTCATATAAAGGCATTTGTGTGTATGTTGTGAAAGAGTTTTTACGGCATGTATTGCAAGTCGTAAAAATTCAATTTTGTTGTAGTGTTACTTGGACCAAATTGACATAAAATTTAAAATCAAAAGTCAAAATTATATAAATTAAAAGTGTAAAAACTAAAATAATATAATAAACAAAATATAAATACCACCAATATAATTTGTCCTATAATATTTTAGAGTTTGAGTACACATGTTCATGTCTTTCCCTGCAAGGTTACTTGCTACTGGCTTTAATGTAGAAATTAAAAGACACTGGATCTTTTTAAAAAAAAAAATCAAATCAATAGTACAGTTTATAAGTATTAAAAATTAAATTTATAATTTTTTTATTAATCTATAAATTTTTTACTAATGTGTAGTTCTCTCATTTTAATTTCTACTAGTTGGACCCCCACGCGCTAAGCGCGTGGGGTTGCATTCCAGTTGGAGTGTTTATTTTACTTATGTATATATTGTACTATGTTATCTGATTGTTTATTGTATTTGATTTATGAAAAATAAATTATAAATGGAATTACTATTCACCATTATAAGAGAATAGTCATTCTATAGAGAGACTAAGGAGTGACTATTTTATTTCATTCTAATGAACCAAACACTATATAAATGATTATCACACAAATTTACTAAAGAGCAAGATGGTGATGTACTTTCAAATCATCATGCAAAATATACAGCAAATAGAAACATAAATTTTACATTAGTGGGTATTATTTGAATCTAATCTATCAATGATATTCTTTTTTTCTTTGCTGATTAGATATGAAACATCAAATCAAACTTAATTTGGAGGGCATTCATAACAATTTGATGCTCTTTTTCCATTAGGAGTTGTTTGGGTTATTTGATAATTACATTTATTTGGATCGTATCTTCTCTCTATTTTTTTGCACATCTTTTTGTCAAAAGTCAAAAAATGTACTAAGGCCAAGTTTGGGGTATGTAAAAAAAGCCAAAAAGTAAAAAAAAATTACTCAAAAAGTTAAAAAGTTAACACTATTCACCAAAAGTCAATAATTACGGCTGCACAACTCCCAATCCTAATTTTCCTCTACAAACCAATTTTTACAATTTTTTATTACACATTTTTCCATAAAAAGTCAAAAAGTTAACCCAAACATCCATATTTTCAATCTCAATTTTTTAGTCCAAAAAGACAAAAAGTGCACTTATTTAGGACACCCCAAACAACCCCATCCAATAGGCAAACAATCAATTACCTGCTTCTTCTTATTGGAATTAAAACAACAAATAGATCTGATCCCTCTGCATTTGCTACTCCACTTGTGTAGTGCTTTTTGCAAAGCAAAATAATATAAAAATCAAACCCAAAAATCTTGATTACGGAAATACAAAAAAGGAACAGATGAAGGGTAATTCATGGTTAACAATTAATATATGGACAAAAGAAATTCACGATTATATGTTAATGAGATCTAGCCTACCTTCTTGCATTTTATATAATATTTGATTTAGAATTATTCATTAAACTTAATAAAGTAAATTTATTAAAAAAACTATTTATTATCTTATAATCAAGCATATTTGGGTAACAATACCTCGTAATACAAAAAAAAAAAATCTACGCAAAAATTCTTGTCAAACCATGCCACATTTGCTGTAGTGTGAATGATTGACCAACGGTTCTTTGCCTGCAAAAACAACATGGCAATTCATGATTGTGTAAAATTTGATAACTGTCCTCCAACCCAATCAAAAGCAAATGAAGAATACAAATAGAATATTTAACATGAATGGCAAAACTGTGCAGCCAATGATTAAGCAATGAGTAACAATAAAATATACAATGGATAATCTAGAGTGATAATATAAGAACCTTAAAAAAGTCAGATCAGACTAAGAATGCTTCTTATCTATTACAAACTTTTTGATGTACACCATGATTCTTGTGACTTGCCAAAATGATGTACACCATGATCTCTGCCTGACCGAAGATAATTAAAAATAAATGATAAACACACTCTTGACCATAAGAAGAAGACCAAACAAAAGTGCAATGCAAAAAACACAAACCGTAAACATGCACAGGAGGTTTCTCTAAACCATGCAATTTCATAGAAAGGAAATTGTATGCAACAATAGAGATACAAAGGAACATATTTGAGAAAACAAGGAAACGCACTTACAACAGAAAAGGGTTGATCATTTGCCCCGTCTCCAAATGTGATCTTCTCTCTCTTCTTCAATAAAAGAACTTCACATGGACCTCAAATCAAGCTAGCCATTATGGTGCTTCCATGATAGGACTCGTAAAGCTAAATGAACCAACAAGAAGTTCAATACAAGCTTCACACTATTAAACATGGATTTCTCAAATAGAAGGGAATGAGAATACTTGTTCATGGCATCCATTGTTTGAGGAACACAAACAAACCACACCGTCTGCTATCCACCGCCTTCCTTGGAACTCTCAGGTAAAGTAGGACAGTCATCAAGAAAAAAAACTTCCAATGCTCCAAGTTGCTGGTGTTTTGTTTTTTTGTCCTCTGTTGAAAATCACCACAATAATGAAACTAACAAGTAATCATAAATGAAGAATAAACACTTCGTACTTACAGTTTCCAGATTTGAATAATTTCCTTATATCTTTCAGTCTTCCAATCCTATAGATAAATAACCCCAAACATTCAATAAAATACAACCAACCATTTGATTATACAATTTAAAATTAAAAAAAAAAAATTTCTCTTCAATTCTTTGAAATTAGCACAAATAAATCGAGAACTTCCATAGAAATTCAAAGATAATCAAACCTTTTTTCACGTATCCAAAACCAAAAAAATAGAATTCCTCAATATGTTTAGGACTTGATCATCAAATTGAATAAAGTACCTGGAAAGTATCTTTAATATTGCTCTATCAGCAGGCGTCTCATGGCATGGTCGAAGATGGCCACTGTGCCCCTCAAACAAATTGCCTAAAATGCTAAATGGATAATGACATAGTGAACCACAAAATAAAAAACAAAAAAAGAAACTACTACTCATACTACTACATACTACACACACACACAAAAGAAGAAAAATCACCAAAACATAAAATAGAATCTCAAGTT